ATGCTTTAAGTGCACATGATAAAGCAAAACTAAATTCTGTGAAGAATACTTTACATGACACTGTGTCATATTGGTCAATAAGTGTGTTTTGCGAAAAACTACTGGCAGCAATTCGAAATGCAGTTAAATCTGCAGAAGGAGATCTTGTTCGTGCATCTGTAATGCCTCGTTTATGGAACTATGTTGCCAACATCTTCAAAGAAGTGTTATTAAATAGTGAATGTGAAATTCCTCAAGATGATATAAAATTGATAACTGAGGCTGTTGAATCCTTTTTGAAAGGTATTCCATACTTTAGAACCTCGATATGAAATGCTATATTCTGAATCTACATATTTTTTCATAAGGAACTACTAATTTTAAAATAATATTAAAGCATTTTTTCAGTGTACGTATTGATGTGAAAGTACGGTCAAAAATGGCTGCTTAAATAAATGTGCTAGTGGTCTAGTGGTAGAGTGCTCGCATCATCAGAAATTAGTTCTGAGTACAATGACCACCATGTTCAATACAGTTTTATTGGGCTTGTGTTTAGTGTTAAAGAGTTCAGAGAGGGTTGTATAAAAACTAAATAAAAAACGAATAAATAAAAATGAGTAGTCTGCTTGAATGCAGGGCCAATGACACAAGTTTTGAATCGGTGGGGGAGGGGGAAGGGCAAAATCGTCAATTCTTAAAAAAAAATCTTCTATAACTAGAATTTCCGCCCTGGTCCCCCTCTCGATGTTGTCGGCCCTGGAATGTGATAGCACTAACAGCCTTGGAGAGGTAAATATATAAACAACAAAAACACAGGCTGTATACATTATTTACGACCGCAAATTTACTTAGAAAACATTTATGTAGTTGAAGCTTTTTAGCTTTACTAGTTAGGTTGGAAATGGGAAACCAACTTAAAAAATACATATTTCTATGTGGATGAATTCTTTGATAAGACATAATGGTTTCTTAGTTGTCAGTTTTCTCTTTAAAGGGACTCCCAAGTCCCGAGACATGTTGTGTTCATATTAAAGAGAATGTTAAAAAAAAAGGTCTGAGCAAATTTTTTTAGATTAAAACTAATTAATAAATGTATACCAAGAAAAACAAATCTTGTTGTTTTAGTCGAAGCTCGTCTTCTCCGTTTTCTCTGGTATTTTGAGTATGAGTAAAATAAACGCAATTTTCCAGGCGCATTATACAGACTTGATAATTTATTCAAGCGCGTTTAATTCATAGGAGTTTTAGTGTATGACGTCATTGGAAACATTCTAGAAATTCTTTAAAAATTTTACTATTAAATTTTACTAAAATAGCTAACTATAGTTACCTATTTTATTTTTTAAAATCTTCACATTAAAAAATATTTTTTTTATAATCCAATAAATAACAGGCTGTGTCTCATCGGTTACGCCCCAAACGGGGGAGGGGGGCAATAACTTTAGGTGTTCTTTTTTTAAAATTTAAGATTAGTTTTAAGAATAATTTTACCAAATTTTTTTTTTTTTCGTTATGCCTAACATTCAAAGTTTTTTTAAATAATGAGACCCTTATGACATGTTTTATAGGGAGGGAATCTCCGACCCTCTTTCCATTGCACTGGTAGCTATAATTTAGATTTTATCAATGTTTAATGTTTTTATATGATATATAATACTTATAAAGATACTGATAAAAAGTTGTTTTGTATTGTTTTGTAAATTTTTATTAGAAACTTTTATTTCGAAACTTTTCTTATGGTATTATCTATGGCCGTCACCACTGGTGTTGACGGCCCCCCAACTTTTTTTTAGGGTAACTATATTTTTCCTGAAATGTAAGATTTTTTTTTTAAATCGGGGAGTGAGCCTCTTTGAAACTTTCCCCACTTTGAAGGCCGTGTTGACGGTCATGTTATCACTTTAACTGAAGTTTAACTTATTTAGCCGCGTGTCTGAATATATTTAATTAAATTTGTTTTGTAAAACTTGTAGGATATTTTTGATTTTAAAAATTGGAATTAATATTTTTGAAGATTGCAAGAAAATGTTATTATTGAGTTGATGATTCGACAAATAGAATAAATACAAGTCAATCTTTTATTTGTTATTCACGATGTTGTTTTTTAATTTGAATGCAAATTCGACATAAATTCAAAAATACTTAATATAATGCATTTTTTAAACGTGCACTGTGACCACATTCACTATGTGGACCATCTGTCTTGAATTTTTACCAAGTTATATTTATTATTACATTGAATAAAAAACAGCTGTGTGTAATTTATGTTAAATGTAAATTTTATAAATAGTTACAAAAATATTTATTTTATTAATTATTCGTTAGTTTTTTTACAAATCTAACGAACAATTAATTAAACCAAGCACTAAGAAAAGATATAAAAATTAAGAATATACTAATAAAATATATAATTTGTAATTAAATTCAAAATTTTGACAATTTCAAAAATATATATTATAAAACATTTATTTTTGTAAACAAATGATAATAGTTTAAAAGTTTTACGGCTTTACAGATGTGGCTCCGAGAATGAGCCATAATAAAACTATTTATGTAACAAACATATAAGAAGTTTCTGGTTACTAAACACAAACAACGCATACAAAGTAACTTGTGGATAAACAAGCACCGCGCCTGAGGTCACGAGAGAACACAAATATATATAGCAAATAATTAGATATAAAGAAAAGTTTCTAGATATTGGTTTACTAACTCTAATTATTTTCGCTTAAGTTGCCATTCTTTAAACTCGTTATACTTTTTTCTGCTTTAAATACTAATTAAAATTAAAAAGCCCACTTACTAAACAACATCAGCGATATTGTGAAGCAGTTTCGCTTCCTCGTCATAAAGTATTTTTAACCTTTTTAGTTGATTTCTATCTTGTTAATTTAATTTCTATAGTAATTCAATGATTTAATTGTTTCATTTGTTTATCTTACTAAGAAGAATTGCTTCAAATATGTTAAACTTTTCAAACTACGCGAAACATAAACTTTTTTTATTTATAAAATAATTTAGCTTAAATAAAACCAAAACTTGCAAACTTTGTTAAATAAAGAATATTTGTTTCCTTTTTTAAACAATTGTAAGATGTTACTTTATATAAAAAACATCGCTTAATTTTATGAAAAAAATTATAAAAGAGCGATGTTTCGAAAATATTTGTTCTAAAAGTAATTTATTTAGTTTTAAGTTTTTTCACGTTGAAAGATCTTTTATTTGCCTAATTTTTTTGTAATTGTCTCTCATCGGTCCAATTAATCTTTGCGCTTTTTTTTTTGCTTTTTAAAATGTTCTCAAAACAACTCAAAAATTTGGCCAGCTTTTCGCAACTAAATATTGTTTACGTGGTCAGCAATCATAAGCAATCGCTCCTGCTTCCCAACCAAGCCTGATATATATATATATATCAGTGGTGTACACTGGACTTTTAGATGTTTGAGTTTTGACACTTACAGGTATTGTACAAACTCCAACAAAAGCGTTAATCAAAATCTTAAGTAGCTTTCTTATTGTATCTAAAGTAACATCGTCCTCCAGTAAATTCATGTATTCAAAAAAATAATTATTAAAAATTATTGTTGGGGCACCCGTTTAATTAGGAAAGAGGGAAGAGGGGGAGGTGGAGGGGGGAAGAAAGAGGAGGAGGGGGCGGCTTAAAAAGACTCCTTCCCCCCTCAACGTTGCCAGAAAAAAACAGTATCTCCAAATAAACTCTGGATTCTTCACTGTATATATATATATATATATATATATATATATATATATATATATATATATTTATTTATTTATTTATCTATATATATATATATATATATATATATATATATATATATATATATATATATATATATATATATATATATATATATATATATATATATATATATATATATATATTAGAGTTAAGACTGAAAATATTTTTGCAAAATTTTGTTTCTCCTGAAGTCATAAATGATGAACTTTTGTGACCAGATTTTGAGTTCAAAAATATATAATATATATTTTTGAACTCAAGTATATCATATTGGGCCTCCAAAGAAGTAAAATTTTGTAGAGATTTCATAAATAACAATCTATTTTAAATGTAACTTTCTTAAGAAAGATATTGTTAAAAAATGTTTTAAAAAGAGTCTTTTTTCAATTTTTGTTGATTTCACCATAAAAAGTATAAAAATACATCAACTTTAAATTTATAGTATTTTTTTTTCTATTAATGCTATAATCTACATATAAACACTATAATCTACATGCTTGTTGGGTGAAATTTGGAACATGTATCAATGAATGTCTATTCTATCTGATTTTTGGTGGCCTTTGCTTATTTTTTTTAAAGAAAAGTTAGTTTTTAATGCATTTTTTATTTTAATTTTATCACTATTAAATCAAAATCAAAATTTTTTTGCAAACTAAATTATCTAAATTAAATTATTGAAATTGCAATACTTTATACATATTTAAATCAAAAAATTATTTTATCTTTAACTATGTTACGACATGTCTTCAAACTTGGCTGGTTTAAAACCTTTTTTTCTAGTTTTAAGCGTAAATTTTTGCTTACATTTTAAAACAATCGTGTGATCTTTAATATTTTACAAGTAAAAAAATAGCAATTAGCTTTACTGGCTTAAATATTGCCTGTTTCAGTTTAGAATCAGGTTTAAATAATTTCTTTTTAAGTTAAAGTGGTCTTACAATTTGTATATTTAATAATAAATAATAAAATATACTTTTTTCAATTTTTTGTGACAAAAAGTGACAACAAATTATTATAATTTAGCCAATTAATTCAGCATTTGGCGCCTTTGATCTAAAATCATAGAAAGTTTTTATTTTATCATTCATTTAATGTCATATGGTAAAACATTTTATTTGTGTTTATTCTTATTTTTAGTCAGCAAAAATTGTAATGGCATCCCCCCTCCTCCACATGACACCTACTTGTCCCAGCCCTGTATATAACTATTATTATTAATAAAAAAATTTATCTAATTATATAAAGTAATAAATATTCTTACAAGAATTGAGAAGCATATTCCAAATAAGAAACAACCAATGAAACACTTTATTCTTGTTGACCAGCTAAGTGTTGTTGCATCAGATATCTGCATTAGTGGAGAAGTCTATTTATAAAAACTAGCAGTAAGTGACCCGCAAAACGGGTCAATGCCAAATATAAATTATAATATAAAAAGTTAAAAAACAATTTTCTAAAAAAAAGTTTGTAAAACAGTCTGATCTAAATTTATCCTATAATCTGAAAAGATTTTCTATACTGTAAAATCGGTCACTTAAGCTTTAAACATTTATTTATCAAGCATATATAAAAAAATTTCAATTTTTTTTACTGAAACATAAAGAAAATTATATTGATATTTGATATTGTGAAAAAAAAAAAAAAACGAAAAATAAAAACTAGTACTCAATATTTAATTTAAAATGAGAACATCTACTTTGACTGAATGTTTCATACCATCTCATTAGTTCGGTCGCTATAAAAATACAAATAATGTATCACAAACTTAACATCACAAATAATCAAAACTAATTTTTAAATGTTGTTTTATTGTAAAATTATGAAATAAATTCAGACAATACCAGTAACTAAAAAAGGTGTCACACCGGGCTCAAAAATAAAAGTATTTTGGGGCACCAAAGAAAACAAGAAGGAAAACATAAAAAAAGTTCTTTTTAAATATAAATAGTAGTATTTTTAATTTTTATTGAATTAGTCAACTATTTTATTACTTTGGCCATTATCACATTTGCTACACCACTGGTTAATAAAATTAAAAATGTATTTTTCAATTAATTTGAAAAGGTTTTTTCATTTAACAAAAAACACTACTTTGGTTTAAATGAGCTTTGTATGTTTAATTCTTGCATGTATTGTTGACCATAGTAGAACAGCAAGATCCACAAAACCAATCGTCACAGGATTCGCAACGCATCCATAATTATCATTGAGCTGTTATTTTATATCAAAAAAAAAATGTCACATGCTTGATGATTTTTAGAACTCAAAGAACTGTCAGTTAATTTTGAAATTATAAACAAATTTTTTATTCAAATAAAATACTATGGTATGTATCCATTATAAAAATGTTAAAACTTACTGGTAAATTTACAGGTAAAGTTACCAATTTTAAATTCACAACACTTATCAATATTTCACAATATTACTGGAAATTGTCTACTTTGTTGTTTATCCATAAATGACCGAAGTTAGAGTAATTCAAAATTTCACTTGTTTTTATAAAAAAAGTAATTAATTTTTAAAAATTATTAATTTTTTTTTTGTAAATATAATTAATTTGGTGATTCTTAATAATACTAAAATTTTTTTTTTTTTTTTTAATAGATTTATATTTACGAACTAATTACAAATATTATTTGAGAATTAAAGGTTTGTAAAATTTGAGTTTTGCATGCTTTTTTTAGATTTTTTCTTAAATGACTGAAGTTACATGGTTAGGCGATTTTACGGTACATGGTAAAAAAATAAAATATGTGATTTGATGGTTGAAAAAAAAGGTTTTAAGTCAAGAAATATATTATCCATTATTTTTATATATAGATTAAGAGGGCCAAATAACTAAAAACTTTTATTCATCTAGTTTTTTTCCCCGCACTTCAATCCTTTGGAACTCTCTCCCATCTTCATGTTTTCCTGACTCATACAACCTTCAACTTTTCAAGTCTTCTGTCAACCGTTTCCTTGCTCTATAACTCTGTTCTTTTTTTTTTCCTAGTAACTCCCAACTTAATAGTGGTTGCTTGCAGCCTTGTTGGGAGTGAATGCAAATGAAAAAAAAAAAAAAAACTTTATTAGTATATTGCATATAATATTTTATATTATTCAAATATTTTAAAATATGCTAAATAAAGCTGAAAAGTCAATACTTATCATCGACAATTTTGCTAACATATTGATAATGAGTATAATAACATGGCCATATATGATATATCCATATATGATGGATTGAGAAACCAACCGTTACATATGACTTTTTTACTGTAATGAAGTTTAGTGTAGAAATAGAGGGTTAATACATATGAAACATTTATACACCAATAAATGTTAAGAGAATTTAATCAATTAAACTTCGAACAGTACTTTCACATCTTTAAAAAAGTCATTTGTCTCTATGGTTTCTCACTCCCTAAAATTTGATTTATCTAAATATATATACAGTTTAAAAAAAACAGATACAAATGAACAGCTCATCAACATGACTGAATCTGTAAGATTTAGTTGCAATTGTACAACTGTATAAAACTAATGCAATACCTCTGAAGAAAAAGACGATCTTTTATTTGTTTTTTGCCTAAAGAAATGCTTAGTTTACCTCTTTTGTTAGTTTCTAAAGAAAATATCTCCTGCAACATTAAACAAATTTTTCCAAAGACTGTCAGTCTTATTGACTATTTTAAATTAGTCTTTCAGAACAGCAAATAATTGCTCAAACATTGCACTGAATTCCTTAAACATTTGCATGAAAATAGATTTATATTTAAATTGTTTAACCGTGAGTTTGAAATAGACTGCCCATTTATTATATTAATAATAAATTTTATTTTTGATAATACTTTCTAAAACTAGGGCTTTTGTCGTTGTAACCTTTATCAATTTAAACTGTAACTTTTTGCTTAACTTTTTGTTATTTTTAATACTGTTTTTATAGTTTTTGTTGTTTTTATTATTTCTACCATTACTTTACAATATTCATTATTGTAATTAAATTTATGAAGAAAACGAGTAATTCTATTATTTGTAAACAACCATAAAATGTAAAAGCTATTTTAAAATATACATCAATTTTCTTTGTTTTATAAACAATCTTACTTTTGAACTATATTTGCAACCCATAATGATTACAATATTGTATTAAACAGAAATATTAAATTCAATTTTACATTCCAGGGCTTTAGCAAGATTTAAAAATATGTCAGAGTAAAATCTAAAATTGCCATAAATGCACTTTTTAAATTATAAAATGCTTGCTAATAACAAACTATTGTAAGTTTTTAGGAGAAAACATGAGATGTTTAACTATATATATTAAATCAAGTCATCAAATAAATACAATTACCTCTGCAACAATGCCAGCCTCATCATCTTGCTTTCCACTAATTGTTCTTTTTATTTTATCCATTACTTTTTCCTATAATTCAAATATAGTTGTTCAACATATAGTTAGTTAAATGTATTTATCATTAATTTATTAAGACTTAAAATTATTTTAAATTATGATACATACATTTATGTAACTAATCTTTACAGAAATACATTTAAACGAATTTATACATGCATAATATGCATCAATATTAAACCATTATTATTAACATCAATATTAAAACCATTACCATAATAGTTTTAATACATACATAATGATTATATATTAATAATATCATAATATTATTATAATACTTGTAAATAAAATAAACAAACACATTCGTTTTTAAATGAACGTGACATGCACTGAAAATTCAGTCTGGATGCATTTATTAACTTTTAAAGAATATAAGTCAATAATACTAAGATAACAGATTATCTGTTACAGATATCATCTATCTATAACAGATTATCTGATATCTGTTAACCGGTTATCTGATATCTGTTACAGAGTAATCTTATTGTTGTAATGTAACAAACTTTATGTTCGAAGACTTCATGTCCATATAAACCATTCCTAGAGACAATAATTATTAGGCTCTTAAGGCCAGTTTCGCAGTTTGTTAAAAAAAAGTGCATTTAGCTATTTATAGAAGTACAAAAAATTAATAAAGAAAATAAAAACGAAAAAAAGAAATATAGATAAGTTTTCTAATTGTTTTAAAATTATTGCTATGTTTGATATGCGCATTGATTTAAAACTTAGCGAATCATTTGGCCGGAATCTCTCAGATCTTAAATATTTAAAGTTATTAAAAAGATTTACCTTTTTTAAAACATATAAGGTAAAATTAAAGATTGGTGATGTTAAAAAACACCTACTAAATGTTTTTAAATAGATAAATAAATTAGAATAAAACTATTAAAATAAAAAAAGTTGAACTAAAAAAAAATGCATTAGATATTGAAGGCAACTGACAGTGGCAGATTAAGACTTCTTGGGGCCCGGGGCTATCTTTTGTTTTTGGCCTTTTTATGGGCCAGAGCCTAAAAATGACTAAAAAAAACTAATTTTTTAGTCATTTTTAGGCTCTTTAGTCATTTCCCCCCCCCCCTTCCTTGATCCGGCACTGGCATTTGATAGTACAGTTTCACTCCACGTAACGACGCACAGCGTACAGTGAGTCATATATGTGATGCATATTTACATATTTATGTAAATATGTACTATATATTTATATAAATATGTGATACACCTATACTACCGTATTTCGGATCAAAAAATTGAAATTTGCTTTAAATTAGTTTTTACGCTAACCTATGACACATACAAGGTGCGCTTTCACGTGTAAAGGTGAGTTTCCACTCATCCTTTTTTCTACGGGAAGGGGAAAAATAATCACGTGAGCATGCGTAGTTTTACTTCGGACAAATTAAAACTTATAATACGCATGCCCACGTGATTAATTTTCCTTTCCCTTTCCTGTTCCCGTGAAAAAACGGATGAGTGGAAATTCACCTTATGTGTTATTTACGTGCGAAAAATATGATTTAAATTTAAAAAATCGGATTCCTTGATCCAAAATACTATAAAATACCTCATATTTTTAATATAAATTTTACCTGTGCCTAAAGCGCGTACTACACACGTATATACGTGTTAGAGTCTTTTACGCGCACAAAGACTGCCTTAATTTTAAAAAATTAGATTCTTCAAACCAAAACATTTACTAATTAAAAAGAAAAATTGGATTCAAAAAATCAAAATACAATTCAATATAATAATAATATTGAATAAAAAACAAATATTTATCTTATCTAATTTTTCTTTCAAGAAAACAAAAAAAGAAAACCTAATATTAATAAAAAAGCTTTATTTCATTATTACTACATTTACAAAAATGAAACTTCAGGGGTAAGTTTTCCATTTTTAAACTTGTATTTTTTAAAACAAATGTTTGATAATCAAGAGGTATTGGTACTGGTTTATCATAAAATTCTTTCTAGATATCTACGATGTATGGTTCAATCTAGCCTTGCGAATTTCCTTATTCAGAGCCTCTAGTAACTCTTTAGAATAATAGCCAATTGGCAGTTTTAATGCCTCAGATATTTGCACACTATGTTCTGAGAGTTTATGAACAGTTAGAGAAATCACATACCAGCAATAGTTTTTTAGTATAAGAGCTGTAGTTTCATAGCAATACGATATAAAGCAATAAAATAGTAATGTATAGGAAAGACTCAATAATATAAAGTTTTTTCATTGTTTGGTTTAGATCTGATCAATGCTAGGTTTTTAAGTTCACTGGGTATAGCTCCGCAACCATTACATGATTGGGAGAGTGTTAGTGAGGGCATTAGCCAATTTAATATCAAACATGGTTAAATCTAGTTTGAACTTAAGTTTGATAGTCGTATTCGGTTTGCCTTCTTTTAGTTCTAACTTTATCTCAAACTTGACTAGTCTATTCATTTCTGCTCTTAAAAGTTCATATTCATTTCTTATCAATGTGTGGAACAATAGCTCTCTAGAAAAGATTTTGCTCTTTAACTTGGGACTTGCCAATATTTGTATCAGTATATTTTTGTTTATAGACACTTTGACTGGAGGTACCATCAAAACCACCTTTAAAGTGAAGTATACCTTTAAACCTTCCCCCATTTTTAGCAAACATTCTAATAGAGTCTTGGCATTCCGTAAAAGTTAATATCCTCGTCAGATTATGATTCACATGCCCTGTAGAGGAGTTGATGCAGATGTTTCTGTCACAATTAAACCCTCAAGATAACATTTGGTCTTTCATTCTTTACTTCATGAAGTAAAGGATAAATACCTGCATTATGTATTATCAATGAACTTCTAATAATTTGATACTATTCATCAGAAAGGTCACGCTGAATTTTTGCTCAAAGCATCTTTGTTTTTCATTTTTGTCGGAAATATTATCTCCGTGTTTTAACTTTTTCCGTTTTGTAGCACTTTTCATAAAACGAAGTCTTTTTTGTTGGGATCTCTAGGGCTTTTTTTATTGAAGTTAATGCCAATGCTTCAACAGGATGTTCAGCCAATAAAAATTGGCTAGCTCAATACACCTACGATACATTAAATACTGCATAATCAGTTAATGAAGTTGGGAAACCATGTTGCTCATTAGAAAATGCTTCCTTTGCTTGTAACAGAACAAAAAAAAAAGCTTAACAATGTTTTTAATATTTTATTTAGCCATAAATTACTTCATGCAACAAAATTGAAACTAAGAAGCGAGTTTAAGTACAAAACTGGCACAAAAATTTCTGAAATCTAAAATAAAACCCCCATTAAACCTGCTTAGATGTAATCACCTGATGAAGCTTTAACATTAATTATTAATAGTGATATATCAAAATCAACATATCCGCTTCTAAGAAATTGTGCTGAAAAACGGCTGCCACATATATTATTTATATAATGGTATATGATCTTCAAAAGATAAATGCTATCCCAAGAACATTCAAATAGATGGCTATTCAGTACAAATACCGCTAAAAGATCTTCTAAAACGTACTTTTAAAAATCTATGTGGTTTACAACTGTGCTAATCACAATGATAAGGAATTAACTAAACTGCCGTTTAGATGCAAGACTGGTTTTGATGGTGCTACAGGATATAGTGTTTACAAACAGGTAAGTTAAAATGAAAAAAGTGACGAATGAAAAGTGCTTGTTGAGTATTTACATAGTACATTTAGAATTTAGTAGACTTTATAATAATAAAAACGTTGTTATTCATCAACAATGTGCGGCTAATAGATTAAAAATAAAAAAAATACATTATTATATAAAGATGATAAATAATCTAAAGCCTTATTCAAAACATCGTGGACATATAAAAATATAAATAATAGAGTTTCAAATCTATATATTTATTAATATTCTCTATATATTTCTGTATATTTATCTAAATATTTTAAATCTATTATATGGTATTGATAACAGAGTTTCAAATCTAGTGATAATATATATATATATATATATATATATATATATATATATATATATATATATATATATATATATATATATATATATATATATATATATATATATATATATATATATATATATATATATATATATATATATATATATATATATATATATATATATATATATATATATATATATATATATATATGGGTAACCAAAATGTCCTTCATTAATTAATTCGGGCCAAGAATATCTAAATTCATAAGATCCTCGGTAGGAACTCTCATAAGCTTCATCTCTTCATCTAAAGTAATGTTTCCTGATTGAAATGACACTCTGAAAATTGCCTAGCGCGCTTCGAACCAGAAGGTTGTCATGATAATAAACTCAAATGAATAAATCCATTTCTCCAAAGATTTTACTTCATTCAACAGATCAGCAGTTAAATCAAGTTCCTGAAGTTTCTGCAAAGAAAAAATAATTTCTCTAAGTTGCTTAACCAACGGCTTCAAAGTCTCAATCCGTGCACTCCATCGGGTTTGTGAGATTTAATAAAGAGACAAACCAGTTGTCTTGATCAAGATTTCACATTGTATAGGGCTTCCACTAAAAAGATTGTAGAGTAACAGAATCCTGCCACAATAGTTCTTCATTTCTACAGAAGATTCAAGGGAATGAACACCAGCTAGGTTAATGTTATGAGCGCTGCATAGCATTTAGAAAGTTTCAGGATTTCTCTGAAGGATGATCGCTTTTACTCCTTTGTATTCACCAGACATGTTGGCACCGTTGTTGTACCCTTAATCTCGACAGATCTTCAAATTGATGTCATTTTGATCCTAGAAATCCATAATTATCTTGGCAATATCCACAAATTTCTTTTGTTTAAGATTTTTGACCTTAAGAAAGCGCTAATTAACTACTTTTATCAATACCATTGTAGACAAATTGGAGAACAAATGCAATTTGCTCAGTATAAGAAACGTCAGGCGTTCCGTCGACAAGCATAAAATAGTAAATTACTATATGCGCATCTTTAATGATGGCACCGTGGACGATTCTTCCACACTTTTTTATAAATTTATTTTAGGAACTCCAAACAAAAAAATGCACAATAATTTGTTTACCTTCATGTTGACACAAGGAAACTTCTTTCTGATGCAGAGCAGCCGTGGCTCAGTGGTAGCGCACTTGTCTCAGAAACGTAAGATCCGTGGTTCAAACCCCACCTCTGGGCAAGTTTGGCGACAACGGTTGGGAAGGAGGCGTGAACTTCCTATTAAATGCTCTCCCGCGGTGCTCTGTGATAAGACCGTAAGGACTTCTTGGGGCACCTTAATCAACTTAAAAAAATAAAATAAAAAAAAATGTAACTAAAAGGTCTTGTTGTGCTTTGCGAGTAGCTCTAGAGTTACAAGAAAATTGCCGTTATCGTCATCATTGATCATTTTTGAAGAGTCTAAAACGACTCTTCAAAAATGATCTATATATATATATATATATATATATATATATATATATATATATATATATATATATATATATATATATATATATATATATATATATATATATATATATATATATATATCTATATATATATATATATATATATATGTATATATATATATATATATATACATATATATATATATATATATATATATATATATATATATATATATATATATATATATATATATATATATATATATATATATATATATATTAAATAGTGTAAAAATAATTGGCGACTTCTTGAGAAATGTTGAGCAAAAGGTTGTAAAATCTATGAAGGTCCTAAATATAGCCAAATATAATTTGTTGCAAATAAATATGCATATGCATTAAAAGTACTACAAAGCGTTTTTTCTGATATTTTTATCAAAGTCTTGTCTTCTGCCAAATATTAGTTGATATTACTATTTGTTTTAAAATTTGTTTTTGCGACAACAATTAATTAGTTAAATACTTTATTACGCAATCGAATTTCAAAAGTATTATTATAAGATTCTTTATGAACCTGTTGTATTAAGCAAAGCAACAAGTCATTATATTATATTTTATGTAATTTTTGGGAAAGTTACTTGAAGAATTTATGTTAAAGTTGTGACATATGTACTTCATTTTAAAAATAATGACAGAAATACATTTATAAAGTGAATAACATTTTACTAATTTTAAATTTTATTTAATATTCTCCTAAACTTAGATAAAAAAAAGTATTTAGAAATAGTTTTCATGTGTTTTCATAATTGTTTGACATTTGAAAACAGTCTATTTTCCAATACAGTATTTTAAGTGTCTAGACCTAAATATTATTAATTGTCGAGATCAAAAATATGATAATATTACTAACATAAAAATAAAAAATAAAAATATTCAAGCTATAGCTTCTTAAAATGAATAATAAAGCTTTACATGTTCTTTATAATAAAAAATTCACTTATTCTTTTTTTTTTTTTTGTGCTTAGTCACCCATCATGGTTTCATTTTTTAAAACTCTTTCAAGATTATATCCACTCTTTATTATTCTTTCTCCTTTTGAAGGTACGAAGTTTTAATAATAAATCTAGATTATTATTTTTTTGCTCGTTTTAAGAAAAAGTGTGAAAGGTTTTGCCCAATTTATAAACACATCAAAATGCCCATTTCCAGTGCTATAATTTACTGGCAGATAGCTAGAAATGCTTTAGAGAAAAATTAGTACCTAATCTAGGAATATATATTACAAACCGCATTTATGGTCATTTATTTTTTGTACTAATGATTAGCGTTTAATCGTATAAAAAACAATAGAATAATATATGTACTTTTTTACCACAGAAAGTTTTTCGATTTTAGTATTGTGTTTCATAGCTTAAATAGGGGTTATTGATTTTTTTGACCTCAACTCATTTTACAAATTCGTTATTAACGGTTTCAAATAGTTTCGTACTTACCTAACAATTCAAACATTCTCCTGTAGATTCTTTTACCAAGAGTAGGTGAGCTTTAGATCAAAGCTTAGTCAACCTAGCAGCACTCTTTGCATGTTCTACCAATTTGTCAGCTAAAGTATCAGAACTCCTTGCATGTCCTTTCTGATTGTCAGTCAATTTAGCAGCATACCTCACACGTTCTACCCCTTTTTCAGTCGATGTAGCAGACTCCTTGCATATTCTACTTATCTTTCAGTTAATGTATGTACACTCCTTCTAGTTTTGCCTATTTGTCAGTCGATGTAATTGTCAGTCGATGTAGTTAAATACAATAATTTTAGTTTTATATAATTTTTAGAGCAGGTTTTTTAATGTGTTTTTAGAGAACTAACTTATCTAACTTTGAAATTATAACATTTTTGGGTATTAGTTTGTTGTAAAGACAGGGACGACAATTTGGTATAACGAAACGCAATAATTCTGTTTTTTAAAATTTTAATCCATTCTAATCATCGAGTGTCATGCCAATATGAGATGAAACATTTAAAAAAATTATGGGATATATTTACAGAAAAGTGTTTTCTTCAGAATAAAAAGATGAAAGGTTTAATGATTGCTCTTGGCATATATTAGTAAAAAAAAAAAAAAAAAAAGATTGCGTTAATTTTTAAGTTAAACACCCTTTTGAGGTGCTCCGTGAAAAAAAGTTACGTCTTCATAGAACACCTTAATAACAATGAACAACAAAAGAACTTTACGCCTTATAATACTTGTCCCTAGTTCTTTCTTCTTTTTTAATAATGTACATTAATTGTGTAACTAGGTATCCTAAAAGTTTTTTTTTTCTTTTTATTTTTAGAGTATTTAAATAATTTAATTATCTTTTGTTTAGGCTTAATAAAAAATTTTATGCTTGTATTAAGGTCTTGTGGTAAAAATTTAATTAAACGTAATACAAACTTTGTTTAGTCATTTAAAAATAAAAGTATATCATCTTAGATAACCTTCCTGAATTTGAAAGAAGAAGTGCATTAAGCAGAGGCGTGAAAGTTGGGGGGAGGGGGTCTGAAAACATATGTTAAAAAGGAAAAAGTTTCTCAATTTGGTATGGTACAGCAAAATAGATAAAAATGATCTATTTATTAAATTATTTATCACACGCAATGTTATTACTTTTGTTTGTACATGATTTTCAGCGCAATGACTCCATGAAAAACTGTAGTCATCTTTTGCCAGCACACATTCATTTAGAAAAAAGTTAGTATGCGATAGTATCTTAAACAGTTTTATGGATATACTTTTCCATGGAGATGTTTAATTGTGATTGAGTCATTGCAGACGGGAAAATAATAATTCCCCTGTTGATATCATTAAAAAAATTTCAGGAAATGAGGGGGGGGGGGGGCTAAATGAAGTGTCCGCCCCCCCCCCCTCCAGTGTTTTAGTTGGGGGAGGCTATCGCCCCCTCCGCCCCCCTGTTTCTACGCCACTGATCAGATGCATTGTTCATATTTAGTAATTTAAAAAATGGCGTATGATTATTATTAAACTCATCAACTATAAAAGCTCTTTCTTGGTGTGCTAGATAAAAAAGAATTCCATGTTTTCAACAAACATTTACTTTTGTTTAGGTTAACTTAACTGTTTAATTTGGCTATTGTTATTTCTTACCACCGCTCCATGTGTTTTAGCTTGAAAGTAATCACTATGCGATTTCAACGCTTTCTTTTAATTAATGAACTCTAATTAAAGAACTCTTTAGAGATAGGGGAAAGG